GTTGTTGCCATGATTCTCTGTGTTGGGAGATAGATGGACTTTTGTTTGGTGACTTTTTCCATCAAATGTGTATGTTCGATCAACTGTAATCATATCAAAAACATAATTTCTCCAAAGTTAAATGTAGCTGTCATATTTTGATACTATACATGTAATTGCTACTTTGAAAATTATGGGGAGAAAAGGAATCATAATAATTTGTTTTCTAATTTTAGATTCCACCCACATCACACTTTTTTGGGCACATTTTTCTTTCTTTCAAATTTGTCTTCTGGAGATGCTAAGAAGTTAATTTTACAAATGCTAATCATATGATAAGGGTTCTACAAACAAGATATTTCACATGGATTATGACACTGATATGTTAAGATTTTGGTTGCGTAGAACAGAGGCATAAAGATTTTAATAAAAACCATCCCCTGTAGAATCTTAAAAAGTTGATTTCCTGGAGATAGAGAGTAGAATTGTGGTTACCAGGGGCTGCAGTGGTTGGGGAGGGAGTTGGAGAGATGTTGGTCCAAGGATACAAAATTTCTATTAGGTTAAGAGAAATAGGCTGAAGAGATCTGTAGTCTAACAGTGTGACTGTAGTTGGCAATATATTGTATTCTTGACAAATGCTAAGGAAGTGGATGTGAAGTGTTCTCCCCACAAGGGTGATAACTATATGAGATGATGCATAGGTTAATTGGCTAGATTTAGACATTTTACAGTGTATTCATACTTCAAAAAATGTGTTGTACATGGTAAATACATATAATTATTTAAATATATTGCATCGTAAGCGTATTTATAATACACTTGTCCTCAATTCACTCATATTAAAGAGGCAGCAAAGTAAAAGTACATCGAAGTAACGTTTCCATTTATTACATGGCACCAAGCAAACTATGTTCAGGTAGCGGGCTGGTGAGTGTGGTTGCCAAGGAGGTGCCCTGTTCACGAGAATCTGGTATGTGGAGCACCATCAGTGATGTCCTGGGTCTGGTGTGGGAAAGCCCGTTGTTCTCTTCCAAACACCGCATTCCACAGTATCACGCTGGTAGCTTGGAGTTGGCTAGAGCCATAGTCTGTATCATAGAAAGTAGCAAACACCCAAACCAAAACCTTTACCAACACACCAGCGCAGTGAACGGAGAGCTGTGGGATTTTCTGAGCTGCCCTGGCTCAGTCCTTGAGCTGCCTTTCTCCATGGCGGTTCCCGCTGTGACTGAGGATGGGGGACACTATATGGCTATACACCTGCTGCTTTTGCTCTGGAACTGTCCACTGCCTGTGGTGAGGCCTGAGCTCCCTCTTCCCACCGAGTCTTCCTTCCCTCCTTCACAGATGTCAGACCTGGATTGGGGGTTTGAGGCTTCCCTGCTCCTGTCCTCCCCACCTTACCCTCCCAGGCATTTATCTCAGTAAACTTCTCTCATGAATAACCCTGGTTTGGTCTCCGCTCCTCAGAGGACCAGAGCTGGAAAGTGGGGTGTGGGGCCAGGCACTTTCAGGCTCCACTCGGGGGGGATAAATTGCTGAATCCTCTGTAAAGAATAATTGGCATTATCTCCTTTTGAAAAAGAGCTGACTCTGGAGGCAACCACTTTCAATTTGGTAGGGGATTCTTTGATAATTAGATTCCACATGACCAAACTACGTGGTTCTGTGAGAGTTTTGAGACAGACTGAGTTATAGTGCATTATTTTTCGCATCTGAGAAACGTGGGTGACAGCGTCCTTCCCGATTCCCGGTTTAACTCGCTCACCTCTCAGTGCTGCTGGGACGGATTCATTTGTTTCCTTCCATCCATGTGGATTTTATGTTTCTGGAATTTTGTATATCTCAAAACTTTCATAATGACCCACATAGATCTACCTCTTGGTTTTTCAGGTTTAGGTTTTCTTTGATTGTCTTTGATTTGTCTTTATAAAAGATGAGGTTTGAGCTGTATTTTATACACCTGCTGTCATTATTTACAGGCACCATTTCTATCAACTTACTCTAACTATGTAGTCAAATCATCCTTTATTTAGCAAATATTGCATATTATGTTATTATCACTATTTCCTCTTTATAGCAGGGGTTTGTAGCTCGCTGTGATTACTTTTCCTTTTTACACTTTGTTGGTAACTGGTTTTATCATTTGCTTATTTATCGCAAATTCAGTCACTAGCTCTTGGCCAATTGTCTAAGTCTCCCATCAGTTAGGTTGATGCAGGAGATATTCTATCAACAACATTTTCTTTCTTTCTTTCTTTTTTTTTAGAGACACAGTCTCACTTTGTTGCCTTCAGTGGAGTGCTGTGGTGTCACACGGCTTACAGCAACCTCCAACTCCTGGGCTTAGGTGAGGCTCTTGCCTCAGCCTCCCCAGTAGCTGGAACTACAGGCGCCCACCACAAAGCCCGGCTATTTTTTTGTTGCAGTTTGGCCAGGGCCAGATTTGAACCCACCACGCTCAGTATGTGGGGCCGGCGCCCTACCCACTTAAATGAGTCTCTCTTCACTCTATACCCCCCCGGCCCCCCTTGGTTCATTGTTTGCTGGCTGTAATCTTCTAAGCTAGAGATAACTTTGCTTCAAAATGTCAAATGACATAGCACCTTGACCTGCACTGTCCTATAATTCTAGTAAGGAGCTTGAAACTGTTGTGATTTCCAATCCTCTATGTGTGACTTGTTTTCTCTTACTGGGAAGTCCTTGGCTTCTTTGTTCCTGAGTTCTGAAACTTTCTGATATCACATCTTCACGTGGGCCCGTTCAGTCCGAGTTGATGGGTGTTGACTGGTGGCTTCCTTCAGTCTGGAGGGACGTCTTTCTCCACCCTCTCCCTGGGATGATTTCTTCACTTTCTCTCCTCATCACTTTTTCCTTTTCTGTAGCTCCACTCCTTTTACTCAGGTATTTTTTTTCCTTTTCTGTAGCTCCACCCCTTTTACTCAGGTATTTTTTTTTTCCTTTTCTGTAGCTCCACTCCTTTTACTCAGGTATTTTGCCTGTTGGGCTAGTCCGTTAGAGTTCCTTTTCTTTTCTGCTATTTTACTTTGTGTTTTTATTCCATTTTCTGGGAGGTTTCTTGAGCATTGTCTTCTCACTTTGTTCCTGATGATACTTTTTGGCTTAGGGTCCATTTTTCTTCATACTATTCCAGCTGAGTTAGCTGTTGTGTGGTGAGTATTTGTTATGCATATTTCTACCCTTTTACTTTATATCATTCTGGGTTATTATTTCATAAGTAACATATACATTCTGAAAGTTTTTAATAGGCAAGTATCTATTTACATTTATTGGGATTAATTACATTTCAGTTTACTTGGGAAATCCTATTTCCTATTTCTAAATTTTTTTTTGCTTTTCTTTTTTTTTTTTTTTTTTCTGTTAATACATGGTTTTGATTGATTGAATTTTTCTTTAATCTCCAGTATCCCTTACAATGCTTTGGAATTTTTCTGTTAATTGGTTACTCTTAAATTTTTTAACATCATTGTTTGATTTAACAAATTCTAGAAGTTTGTAAGTATCTTTCACTTTCTTCTAAATAATTTAAGGACTCTTGTTCACCTTCTGCCTGTCAGATGATCATTGTCTTGTGTTTTGGATTGACATGGTTTTTTCTTTTGTCATTACGTTATTGTTTAACTGTCAGTGCGCATTTAGATCTAGTCACATGATCACCAGTTTCTTAGCTCAGACTGTTTTGTATGTTCTCGGCTGTCCTTTGATTCAGTTCCGGCACACAGCTCTGTGTTACATACACAGCCCCCAGCTCCTGGGAGCACCCCTCTTTCAGGAAGCCTTCCTCCATCATTCCCAAGCAGCTCTAATTAATATCTCCACCACTTTTCATCCTCTCTTGTGTACATGCACATTAGTACGGTTAAAAATCATTTTTCTTTTGTTGCATTGCATGTGTTCAGAAGGACCATAGTAGTTGTTGCAGGTTTGAGAATCCTGTGCCTTGTCCAGGACGTATTTTATGTGGGAAAATGAAAGAATGGTAACTACCTTGGCTCTCAGGTTCCACACTGTGGAAGTCCTTCCGCAAGGACTGCCTGCCTTGCTGACATCATGAGACCCTTACACAATCTAAAGGAGAAAGGGGGCACTAATGAATGCCGCTTGTAGAATTTGCCAGTCCACGGGGGTATTGTTACTTCATTTGTAAGTGTTTGTTTCCTCAGCCTGGTTATACATCCTGTGGTGGTGAAGA